GGAATTTGATCAAAGGGGTCCAACCGCATAATTATAGGCCGCCGATCTCAGCGGCCATCATTGCGGGCGGTGGGCGGACGAGAGCAACTGGAGGGCAGAAAAAGGGGACTGCAACGGAACTCGAGCCACTTCTTTAGATGGAAAAGCACAGTGGATCTTGCTGGGAAGTCTACTTATTTGAAATCAGCGGGTAGGCATTACTTATAACTCTTAACTGGCATAGGAAAGTGTTTTTTTTATCGCGAGGAAGCGAAAAGCTTGAACTTGAATAGCCCTAAGCTACAATTTTCATAGCCCAAACGTACATAAATATATCGTAAAAAAAATCTGTAAGACCCCAAACATACAGTAAAAAATTAATACAAAAAATATTACAATTTTTGATTACATAAGTTTGTTAATCTAGTTGTTAACAAAGAAATATTAGGGAATTATACAATTTTAGTAGGCTATTTGTTCCAAAAACAAAGCTGCTTTATCCATAAGCACAGTGAATACTAATTTAAAAAGTGTTTTAAATTAAAAAAAAAAACCTTTAAAAAATGTATGCATTTAAATTTATTTACTTCCTTTAAAACAAACAAACTATGATTTTCCTATGCCAACAGCTTTAAAATAAAAAGGCACTTAATTTGCTGATCACCTCAGCAACGAAAGTGCATCGGTAGTTTCCTCCATAAAAGTTTTGATTACCTCTGCTCAAAATGCAGAAGTTGTAGTCAACCGTGTTAACAAGATACACGAACAGCGATGGGCAAGGCAATAAGTCAAGTCGAACATGTTAATTCTCATAAATTTTGATCACTTCAAAACCACAGTGCCTGGGACGAATGTCTACGTTTGGTCATTGAAAATGGTTGAGATGGGGAGGGGTTTTTTGGTTTTTGTTTTTTTTTTATTTTGTTTTTTGTTTTTTGACAATGTTGTGGGAGCGCAGCAGAGTCTTCTCATACAAGATCTCGAGTGCTGTTGAGGCTGTTACAAATCCTCAAGAAACAGGCGGCATGGAAATAAACACGATTGCAACACGGATATTTCATCTGCTGTGCAGCGAGATTTAGCCACCAAAAGTTTATTTTACTTTGTCTCGATACATTTTTTTTTTTTGTTGTATTCCTCCACAGATTTGGCCAGCGCCAAAAAGTGACGGCTAACAATTATTTAGGAGGCCTGGTGGCAAGTGTATCTTTGTATCTCACTGAAATAGTTGCACACGCGTGCAATTAGCGGCGCGTGTTTTTGTTTTCTAAGTGGGAAAGGTGAAGGAGGCGTGAAAGTGCTTTTTGTGTGACGGAAACATTTTGCTAATTTTCACTGCCTGCTGCACTGTATTCGCTTATAAAATATGAACACACATGCTAATATACACATTTGCGTTTATTTTCGGAAGCTTTTAGCGGCAGCCAGCAAAAATACAAAAAAAAAAAGGACTAGAAAAACGGGGCAAAGCTGAGAAAAAGCCTATGATGGCAATGCCGACAGCTGAATAATAAATTTAGCACGGTCTCTTCGATTTTTCCGATTTCACATCGGTTGGCTTTCGATTTGGTTCGCTTCGGCTGTTTTTTTTTTTTTTTGGTTTTCGTGGCTAACACAACAACAGCTGACATTGACACTTTTCGTGCGGCCTGGCGGCGCAGAAAAATCGTTTAAGGTTATTTATAAAAGCAAAAATATCGAGCAGTCCCCAACACAAAAGCAAACAGCCCGTGCAAAGCTATGCAAAGGAAAACGCACAAAGAAATATCAAAAGCGGGCAAAAATTGCCCTGTCAGATTGAAATTTACGTTCGAAACGAATTTGGCTTTGCACTATAAAAGATTTTTATGCATTTTTAAGGTATGTTATATAAAATACCTCATTTTAACTCATGCCAATAGATACTCATTTTATTTACACATTATGCAGTACATTTTAGAAATATGTAATAAAAAAATTATATTATTTTGTTGTTATTTTGTCTTAAGAGGTACTAGTCTTAAAACTGGTAGTCAAAAATAGCTTTAATAAAACAGTGATAATTTTCTTTTAAAAGCTATTCTACAATTTCTGATTGCCAATTTTGCATATCAACTTTAAAACATAATATTGTTTAGCTCTAGCATCATAATAGGTTATGAAATGATCTAAAACTGTTAAGTTTTTCAGTTCGTTTTCAAAAGAATACGAAGATAACAAAATTAAAATCCTTGATTTATGCTAAGACTTTATTAAGCTTTAAATTTAAAAGTCTTAGCTGGGAAGCCAGTTAAATGATTTCAACTGCGTGCTAAAAAATATACGAAAAATCGAACGATGGCAGCAAAAAAAAGAGGTTAATTCTTTATTCGCCTGCTCGGAAGCAGCAACAAATTCAGTATCCAAACGCTTAATTTCCGCGTCGATGTCGCTGTCGCACTTAACCTTCAACTCGCATTGAAGCCAATTTGCTGACTGTTGTCTTCTGTTGTCGTTTGCCCCTTCTAGTTTCGTTTTCACACCTCCGCCCACTGACGGCGCCATTAAATCAAAATTTATGAAGTGATTCTAGCAGTGCGACGCCGAGTGTTTCGGATTGCCCATTTGGTCGCGTTTTGAATGAGCTTAATTGTTGCCGATTTCTGTATTTCAATTTCAGTATGTACCCCCGTTAAAGGTCAAACGAGCATTTTGCAAAGTAGTAGAGAAATGAGTCGAGAAGAGAAAAAAATAAAATAGAAACCGAAACCGAAACCGAAACTGGCAAGTCACACACATAAGACAGACAGACCCCTCCTCTTGAGTAGAAAAGCTGTAGAATTATTGGTATCATATCAAAAGAAATAAAAACGAGTTCCACAACTGGCGAGCAGGAAGACGGAGACAGGTATGTCTGGGTAAGGGAGATAGAAATAGAAATAGTGGTGGTACACGGCTGTGTGACGTGAGATGCACATGCAATGGATGACATGATATACATAGATAGGTGTACCTCTCCATATACCCATATCTGTGAGTGAGCTGGTTTGTGTTATTCTGTTCGTTGTTGGCTTGTTGGTTTGTACGTTTGTTCATTTGGAAGCTGGCCGACAGCACATATATGGCATAACGGTTCACTGGAAAGGCGGAGAAGTTTTCGGGTCGCTAACTAACCCAGTTACCAAAGATTTATCCGACAGCGTTTATAACTGTGACTATCCTTTTCCAAATAGGTTAAACGATCGATTTATCCGCAGCGAAAATTTAATAAAAAACACAACACAGCCGAATGCATATGGATGAGTCTGATTAAATACGACTAAGACTGAAATGTATCTATAGAATTTTTCACTGGAATTAAGCTGAGTGGGGGAAATACCGTGAGAAAAGTATTTCATCACAAGGGAAAACGCTCAATAATAAATAGTATAAAGCAACTATAAGAACTAGTTGATATTAATACGATATCAAATTGCAGTGGGAAGTTACAAGCCATATATCAAAGCACTTTTTAAGAGGCTTACAAATTCCTTTAAAACAGCTGTGGTTTAGTTGTCACGAAAACTTCAAATTAAAACCGCTTTTTATTTTCCTTACCCTCTAAAAAGATCCTTAGATCTATGAGCCTATAAACCAATTCAATAGTCAATATTCATCTGTTAGATAACATCGCACCACAAAGGCTTGGATAAATTTAATTCATCTACCATTCACAAAAGTCCATGGGAATTCAACTATGGGAATCCGCAACTAATTCCAGTTGGTTTTGCAATTTTTAGCATGACCTAAAAAAATCGATAAATGGCCTAGCGCATTTGATGGCCAAAGGGTTTACCAGGGGCTGACGAAAGGCGAGGGGAAAGGGGTTGGCCGGAAGGTGTGAGAAATAACAAGCTGCTGGTTGAGCCACTCGTAGTGTTGTTTTTTCAGCGCATTGAACACGTAGGCGTCAACGGGGTTGACAAAAAATAAAAAATAAAATGTAAAAAACCCAAACAGGATGTGCACAGAAAAAAACGATAATCTTTCAACTTTTTTAAAATTCGGACTTTAAAGTGTAAAATGGATAATTGGAATTAATTTCAACGTTTTTTAGCTTTTAAATAAGTATTATACTTTGGTGAACATTAAGACACCAAAAAAGTCCGATAGAATTAAATCATATTTAATAGTCTTTAGTTTGACTAGTATTTGAACCTACAATTTTTTTAAAAGATTCAAGCCTAATTTATTTATTAAATTAAGTTTTAAGACATTTATGAGAATTGTCCGTATTTGGCAATTGAAAAAGTGGGAAAGTGAAAAAAAGATCATTGATTTTCAAGCTTTATTAGTTGTTAAATTCTATTAAAAAATAGAATTAAGAAAATACATCCATTTTTTTCTGTGTGGCAGAGAAAACACCTGACAATGCGTGATGGGCGAGGGGGCGGCAAAAAAAGGGGGAGGTTTGAGGGATGGCCAGACAGACAGACAGGCAGACAGACAGACATACAGACAGGAAGCCCGTGAGGAAGGAAGTTCCTGCCGCTGCGGCAAAGGAAGTGGTTAAAACAATATGGCAGTGGAGGAAAAAGTAGTGGTGGAGTGGCACACCAGCAACATTGTGAATGTACCGTTGTTGTTGCTGCTGCAGTTTCGGTATTGTTGGTGTTGTTGCTGCTGTTTCTGCTGCTGTTGTTGCTGGTGTGCCAATTCTAAGCGTTGCATTGGCAACAGTCGCGCTTCGCCGGTTTCGCAACTGAACTCTCAGCTGCTATTGCTCCTCTGCAGTTGCTGCTGCTGTTGTTGCTGCTGTTGTTGCTGCTGCTGCTGCTTCTGCTGCTGCTGCATTGCGCGTAATCAGTGAAGCAACAAACCGTGGCAGCTAACTGCAACAGCAACAATAACACGCCAGCAATCGCGGCTCTGAGGAAAAACTTGAATGCAGTTTTTCGCAGTGAATGACACAGTTTCACACCAGCACGGGAAAAACACTAGCACACACACACACACAGAGAGGCACTTCTTTTCCTTTGTATATTATTTGTAATTTTTGGTAAGACGACTCCTTTTCTGCTTACATTTGTGGCCCCTTTTTAGGGATTTCAGTTTTTATTTTGTATTCAATTTGAAATTTCACAATCTAGCATAGCATTTCACATGGACGATCGATGTTGCTGCTGTTGCAAATGTTGCTGCTGCTTTTGTTTTTTAACTGCGACGCGATATAAGTGCGATGTGAGGTTGCAACCGACGGCGGCGCCTCGAAAAACAATGTCCAATAAAATGACGCGGCGACAACAACAGTCCACCATCGACGACCTGCGACCGCTCGAGCGACCAAGCGAGCCAAAGGAAATTTCTACACTGAGCCAAGTCGCTTGTCTTTGACTGACTGCTGCTCGTTCGGCTGGCAACAGCAACACATACACCGCAGCAACAGCAGCAGCAGCAACATCAACACACACGCAAATAAGGAGAGAAAAAAGCAGACAAAAAACAGAAAACTGGCAACGAAAGCAGAGCACACAGTAAAGATGAAGTGGTTGCTGTTGCCGTTGCTGCCATGATGTTGTTGCTGTTGGTGCCGTGATGTTGCTGCTGTATCGCACACCAGCAACATCTGCTCTCTGCGCGAGAGAGACGGGAAGAGAGAGAGAGCGAGCAGCTGAGCGAGAGAGGTCCACCTATACGTGTTTTGCATACAAATGCGCCACTGAAGCGAAACACTCACACATTTATACATTTCTCGACCACTTGTTTGACTGCTTTGGCTCTGCTCTCCCTCTCTCTATCTTTCTTTCGCTCTCTAAAATCAGCTGATGCCAAGCAGCTGACAGCGACAGCGTTGCCACTTGGCCAAGAAAAGAGAATGTGGCTGAGTGGCAGTAGAATAGTAGTAGAATCTACTACTATTAGGAACAAATACAAATGTTTTCTATAATTTACTTTTATTTGGATTTAGGGCTGAAATACATCAGCTAATAAATTAGAACCAGAAAAACATTTAAGCCTGCTGTTCTAATACTTTTATGTTTTTGTGCTATTATAAATAATCATGTTCGCAAATGGACAAAATAAGTGAATAAAATTAACTTATAAAAGTAACAGCTACATTTACTGCTGTCAAGTTATTTATTATTATTATTTATATAATTATATTATTATTTGTTGGCTGCTCAAATTAACTTTAATAGATTACCTGGTATTAAGACAACTTCCTCTTTTCAGAAATGTAAGAAAAATGCGATTTAATTTGTTACTCACCTGAAAATAAAAGAAAAGAAAACATTGATTAAAACGACATTTCAACTTGGTATCCTTAAAGGTAAAGACCTCCAGCTAGTTCTTATCAATGAATTGACCCCAAGCCCGCATAAAATAGCCCCCTCTGACCATCCATCGTCCCCGGAGTGTAATTATCACGCTATTTTTTCGGTGAGGAGGGTATAAAAAAGAAATCAAATAGAAAAGAGCGGTGGAGGAGAAACGAAGAACACAGGAACTGCATTTGTTGCCTGACTTACACAGAATCTAGACCTCAACAAGAAAACAAAGTATAAACGCATTGTCATTCACAGTAAATAAAGTCGAAAACAGGAAAAAGGTAGTGCACTCAGAAAAAAATGTTAATAAAAATGCCCAATGTTTGCTATCCAAAATTTTAAATTCTTTGGGCTTAAACTGTTTTTTAACAAAAAATAAAATATTTGAAGTGATAATCATTTCATTTTAAAACAGGAGAACTGAACGAATTGTAATACTATATTAAGATTGATTTTGAGTGTATTTATAAACAGCTGTCGGCTGAAGAGCTAAAGAAATACTCAGAGAAATAGAGCTAGGGTGAAAAGGTGAGAAGCGGACAGACGGAAAAGGGAATCTTCTTGGACCGAGAACGAGCACCTGTGACCGCCCGCAAAGCAAATGAAACGGCGGCAAGTTCATTTGCACCACATCAAAATTTTATCCACAATAATGCACACACACAGAGTGACTAATGGAACATCTGATCGGTATTTATATATATTTATATATATACATATATATGTATATATATCCCTCTCTTTCGCATTACTTTTCCGTCTCACTCCCTCTACGGGACAATTGCAACTGCAACGCTTGGCTGCTTTCTAGCGGTTCAACTGCTGCCATTTGCCATTACTCGAATTGCTTTGTGCCCATTACTTATTGCAGCGACTGTTGCAGTCGGACAGCAAAAACGGCACACGATCGCGATCTGCGGATTGGTAAAGAAATATGCGGCAAGATGTTAAAGAAATATTTCCCAAGAACGAGCCTTTTATGAATGGTAAATAGAAATTTCAAAGACCACCAGGGGTCACCATAATTAAATATACTTATTTATAGTTTTTCATGTTAAGTTCCGAAACTGTCACAAGGTTCTTAAATAAATATGCCGCAGGAGCGTAAATTACTCAAGTATTCTTTATTTACGCATCCCATAATTCAAATTGAAATTTTTTCCTAAGTTTTCTTATTTGTTATCCTTTTGCTCCAAATAAATGGGAACTCGAGAAAACCAAAAGGGCCTCATAAATATGACAGCAATAAAAAGTGGCTCCATTTGGCTTATAAAAGTTCAAACAGTGCGCCACAAAAGTTCACATACACTATGGGAAAACTTTGGTTGTTTATACTATGTTCACTGGACAATTAACATGCACTACATATTCCTTTGTAAGAACAAGATTTGTGTTTATATTTACACTAGAAAATTATAATATTTTGTTAAGTTTAAGAGAGAATGAAAAGGAGCATAATACAAAAAAAAAACATTGCTATGAGTGTTTGTAAAGTTTAATTTTGTTTCTTTTAAATAAACATTTGCTAGCAAGTATTTCAGGTTAATTTTTGATATTGACATATTTTCTCATGTGACTAGACAATGTTAGTGGAAACATTTGAATTTGATTGTAGTACTATAGGCTTTTATCGTTACCGTGCTAATCAATTAATTTCACTTCTTCTATTTTGTATAAATTTCAAAGTTCTGCTTTTTAAGGCCGGTAATGGGTAGCTTTTTTTCCATAGGTACATTTTTCCATAAATATCAACCCAACAACAGAAAATGTTGTTGTTGTTCTTTATCAATCATAATATTTGATTTGTTGTTTCTCCACCTCCAACTTCCCAACTTAATTGCAAAGTGAAAGAGTTAAGTAGATTGCTTCCTGGTGCCCGAGAAAAATAACAAACAAACAACCCAACTGCATAAGTATGCAAGAAAAATAAAATTGTTCATATTACTCTCACACATTCTACACAGTTAGAAATCGGATTAGCGTAAGTTAAATACACGATTATTCGTTTCTAGCAGGCTGACTTTGTTTATTATAAAATGTAATATGTTGTGATATGAAACTTTATGACTTTTTTAGACACTATATATGTTAAGCATAAGAGAAATAGGTTTTGGACAAGTTAATATATATATATATATTTTTTTTTAATAAAACCGTATAGCTTTCTCTCGATTGTTGTTAAATAATGAAACCTAAAACATGGCAACTGAACAACAATAAAGCGCAATTAATTTGGTCATACATATTTCTTGTATTTGGTTATTGACTCTTTTAATTCTTTGATGAACTTTGGATCATAAACATTTATCTATTTTCATTATTTTTTTTTTGTGTACTGTGTTTAGTGTGATTTGTTTTTATTGCCGCCGTGCCCGAGATGCTGTTGTTGTTATTGCTCGCTTATACGTTTCTAGTTTTGCTTGGGGCCACATGGGGGGGGATCTCGAAGGGGAGTGTGGTGGGGGCGGTTTGGGTGGTGCGGCGGGGGGCGGGAGTTCCGTTTAGTCGGTCACGCCACCACATAAATAAGACGGAACAACAAAGCGTATCAAGATGTTGTTGCCAGCGTTACTGTAGTTACTGTGCCGCTGTTTTTGTTTTTGTTGTTGTTGCTGATGTTGTTGTTAGTGCTGCTGCTGCTGCTGCTGCGGGTCATGCGCAATGCCAATGACGTCAGAGGTAGCCATCAAATTAGGAAATGCGCAAAAAAAACATCCACAAAAAATGGCAAAACAATGAATTTAAATGAGCGCCACATAAATGCAGACACATACGCATAAACATACAGCGACAGTTAATATTTAAGCAATAAAAACAATTATAGTGGGCATAGTTTCTTCTGAAAAATCATTTTAGCAATTTAACAACTTTCTTATGGTTTTAGCGATCTGAACTTATTTTTTATAATTGAAAATTTACTTTATGTATTTTCTTTTTTTTATTAAAATTTAAATTAAAATACATAAAGTAAATCTTCCATTTTTTGAAAATTTAACGAAATATACATATATGAGCAAAAGAAATCAAATTCCGAACAACTTATAAAAGTAACATGTCATTTTTCAAAAGAAATAATAAAAGACTTGTTAATATGTTTACTTGGATTTTTTAGAATGTTAGTTTTATTTATTCAACCGTCTAAGCATTTATTTAAAATACAATTTTGAATTAAAGTTTATTTACTTTTCTTAAAGCGCTTGACATTAATGTAAAAGTTTTTTTTTTTTTATAAGTACATCAAAAATTATATTTTTCTTAAATTGCATTTTAAATAAAAATTGCCATGCTTATCTACCCAATAGAGTAGTTTTTTGTTTCCGATATGCTCGATTCTAATTAAGATACCTAAATTGTTGACCCCCACTGTGGATTCCCATATGCGTCTCGGACATGGCGCTGTGTGATTTATGTGTCGCCGTTAAACGAAAGGGGGCGTGTGTAAATCGCGCCAGGCATTGGTTGGGGGGCAAGTTAATGCCGAAATGCAAAAGTAATGTATATGCACCAATCGTCTGGAGGTGTGAATCACCAGGGACCAGGGAATCCCCCTCCCCCCTTTGTTTACCCGCCCCTGGACATCGCAGGGGTTTCTCTGCAACATGGAAACCATACAAAAACTTCAATGCAGACCAAGAGGAAAACTGCGACGCAAATTTAATAATTTACAAGAAGGAGGGGTGAAGTTGTGCCAGGGAAATCCAATAACAGAAAGGAAAAAGGAAATACGAAAAACGAAAACACTGATAGGCAGACGCAGAAATCAGCTGTTTGGGGAACTTTGCCCGCTGTGAGCACATATGATATGGCAAAGGGGGAAACTAAAAGAAACTGAGGGAAACTGAGGGAAAATGAGAGAGAAGCGAGTGGCAGAGAGTTTCCATTGGAGAGAGAGAGGGTGAAAGTGTTATAATCACCAAACTCTCAAACACACACACACACACACACACACACAGACACACAACCACTATTGCCTTGGGAAATTGCCTTGTCCCTAAACGAAGGCAAAAGAAACGACGCAATTTTCGCGATTTTTCCAAGGCAATTAGGG